TGTGGCCTCTTGAACCGGATGTCGGCTGATGCGGGAAAACAGCCTCGGATTTGCAGGCAGCCAACTCAGGGAAAGAAACCTGCAAGCGCGCGGGTGTTTGTGCAACATGTTGGCTCAACGCCCAGCAATTGCCCCTGGATTTTCAAGTATGTTTTACAATCCACTCACTAACCCGACTCCGGGCATTGCTCGCCGCTTGGCGCAACATGTTTTCCTTCTGGGGGGGGGGGGGTGATCAGCCTCGGCTTGCCTGGGTGTGTGTGTGTGTGTGTTTGTGCTTGTTTGTTTGTCTAACACCCTGACCTTCAAGCAATCATGCTATTTGTGAGAACCATTTGGGCTCACTTTCTTTCTGGGGGCCGTGCGCCTACGGTGAGGCAGTGCTTTACAGGAGTCACAGTATTGACAGTATAACCAGAGACGCCCAGAGGTATACATCAACCCGGCTGATTCCATCAGGTTCTTACCGAAACAGATCCAGGGCCACTGAGACTGCTACCACAGTGGGTATCTCCTCTCGGGGATTAGGTGCCTGCGATTGTTGCACGCAGTCCAAGCAGTCATCTAGCCAAAACAATCATGTTGCTGCTTCAGGCATGCTTCATTCAGCTGCTGCCTGCATCCCGCCAGCTTGCACCAGTGGATGTATCTGTACAACTCCACAGGAACAGCAACTTTCAGTTCGCATAGACCCAACAAGTAAGCATCCACCTGAAATATGCTGGTAAACCACTTGTCGCACTGCAAGGACATGGCTTCCGAGCGATCCGAAAACAAAATTATGTATGCAAGGCTGAGTTTCACTAACGGAAAATCCTGACGCATCTCGGCTTGCAAAAAACTGGCACGCCTGCCGTTTAAATCAACGGGCAATTGCTGGGCGTAAAGCCAACATGTTGTGTTGTCTTTCTTTTCTTTCGGGGGGATACATTACATATTATATATATGCATATAAACATATATATATATGTATTGAGAATAGTTGTATAAGACATGATATTATACATATATATATATATATATATATATACATATATATATATATATATTACTATTCATCATATACATATATTATATGTGTATGATGAATAGTTACGTATGTTCGCACAAAAGGCCGGCTTTCCTGTCTCCTAACCTGTGCTTGCCCTGGCCTGCCCCATTTCAACATCAAAAACCAGCAACCAGCAACAGTGCACTTCCATGTGGGGAGGCTACCTTACCGCTGCTCCTTTTTCGAACTGGTCATGCAAACTCAAATTGCATACAATTGTTTTATCACCTAGAATCTTTAGCAAACATGTAAGGATGTGTTTTGGTCGGAGGGTATCTCAAAATTAGGGCCCCCTGTCCAAACCTACAAGAAAGGGAGCCCTTGTGAGGGGCAAACAAAAAGCAGAACACAACTCATGACTCAATGTGGTTTCAAAGTACCCCTGCATCTCCTAATACACATCCCATTCGGCCAAAATAATATTTTGGCCCTTAAACGTGGCAGGCGGCTCCACGGCCCCCTGCCCCACCCTCCCCCCCTCCCTCCCCGCCTTGCGCTTCCGACCTCGGCGCCAGAGCTCTGCCGGGCGCCAGCGGCACAGGGAGCGCCGGCTGCAGCTGCAGCGTGCCCCCGCGAATCAACGCGGAGCTTAGGTCCTGCATTGGCTCAGAAAGCCGAGGCAAAAAGCAAATGTTGTTGTTGTCTTTGTTTTTGTTGGCTTTTGTTGTCTGTTTTCTGTTGTTTTGTGTGATGTTGTTTTCGATTCTAGAGGGAATCCGGTGAGATGAACTTTCTGGGGTGGGGAAGAACGTTCTGATCAAACCAGGTTTAGTATGCAAAAAGCACTGTGTCTAGTGTCCACCGTAAGTTTTGTGAGTGTGTGTGTAGGTCTGTGTGTGTTTCCTGAGTTGTTTGTTTAATGATACTTCTGTCGTTTTAGTCTTTAGCCAGCCAGCGCTTGGTTCTCCGAATTTCCGGATGCTGTTTGCAGGGAAGCCAACACACATTAGACAAGGCCCGTCTTTGTCAAGATGGCCTGCTTACACTAAAGCAAATACGACGAGACGAGCCAGCAACGGCGATTTTTTGCGGGCAAAAAGGCCGACTTAGGGCAGTGCCAAGAGCAGTTGGAAACCAAAAGGAAACCGCTTTCGATCCGAGTCACGCAAAGCCAAATACCAAGGCGCTCTTTCTTTAGGCAACCAGATCTTAGCGTCAAAACTAGGAACCCCCATTCTCAAGCCAATCCCTGACTTGCTGGGGACTGGGTGGGTGGTGTGCAACTCCATTTTTCTGGCCTTCCTCACAAATAAGCGCAGGTGTGCCAAGAGACCCAGAACCCACTGGAACCCAGCCCTCCACGCAAGCTGCCCGGATCCCAAATCAGCATCCGCACTTATTCTCATATGTCCTATCTGAGCCAAGCCTCCTAAGCTTTCAATTGTCGAGAGACAAAACGGGAACTCTGATTGGACATCCAGGAGATCCATCCTTTGGGGGGTGCCTAGCGAGGCCAAGGGAAACAAATCCTCCTTTTGTCCGCGCATCCGCGAAAGAACCTGTCTTCGTCTTGCCGAAGAATGCAACAAATTCAAGAACCTGAAGCTCGGGTCAAGGCAGTCGAACGGGCGAGCTGTTTGTCTCGCGAAATGGTTGGCTTTCTTTGAACCTGTCCTCAAAGCAAACTAACAATTGGTATCCAAAGAAGGGCACGCCCACATGAGCATTCAAACAAAACCGAGGCGCATGAGTCCCCTCTATCTTAGAACCATCGAGCTGGGGCCTTCGAGTTTTGATACAAGTCTTTGAAGCGGCAAAACTTGAAGAGTGCACTGGCACATCAAAACTCAGGACATCTCCAAATGAGGGTTCTTCAAAATAAGAGTCTCCCAATTCAGACCCTAGTGCCTTTCCCCTGTCCAAAAGGGGTCACACAAGGGTGGCCTGGCCACTGTTGAGCAACCCTCAAGTGGTTGGTGTCCTGTTAGTTTTCCTTTGACGGAACGTCGCTTGCCCCTCACTTGATTTCGACATACGTCGAACGCGGTCCCTGCTACTCACGTCCTCAGACTCTCCTAAAGTTCATGGGATTGCCTGTAGCTAAAGAAAATGAGCACCGAACCTGCGGCCGGGGGGTCCTTTCCCAGGAGATATACCCCCCGCAAACAATCCAGAGGAAAGATCCTTTTGCAAAGGGTGTTGCCAGTGCACCAAACCATATAAGCCAAAGCACACAGCACAGTATTCTTCTTTCAACTGTTGTTACCCTCCCACCAATTGTTGTGGAACCTGACAGGAGGGTCCTGGAAGATCATTTTCCTTTTGAAGGGACCCCCTCTCTCCTGTCAGCGAAAGGGCGTCCCAACTTGTGGGTCGTTCTTTTCCTCTCTTGGGTTCCACGTCAAAGGCAGAACAATTGCACACAATGACTCCTTGATGATCATGAGGTGCTAAAGTCGCGCGCAACCCTATTCTCACCGGGTACGCCCGTATTGTACCTCTGGAGGAATAAAGCTGGCTCTGACTCAAAACTCTAAGGGCTGATTCCTTCTGTTCAGTCAGCGTTATTTTGAGAAACCACTCAAATCCTTGGTGTTGGCTATTTTATGAAAAGTGCTGCTTTGTATGTAAGACAACTGAGGCAACCCTTATCACCATGGCTCTAACTTATACTTACGACAGGGCTCCCCATGTTCCCCATTCAGCACCAGAAGCAAACTCACTTTTGGTAGATTCGAAGGTGATGGTCAAACCATCCACATAGGAAAAACAGTTCAACGACAGTTCCAAGTTCAAACCGTTCTGAAAGCAACAACATTTCAAAAAGATAACGTTCAAAGATCAAACAAGTCAAAGGTGATGCTCACAGCTCAAACCGTCGAAGGAAAAACGCATACGGGACATGTGACCCTCTGAGTCTGAGTATGTTCGCCCCTCCGCGAAGCTGTTTCGGGCCTGGGACCGCGACTTCTGCAGCGTGGCCGCGTCGGCCACGAGGGCAGCATAGGCCATGGCCAGTGCCGGTTGGGTGAAGGCCAGATATATGGAGAGCCGGCAAACCAAGCAGAAAACCAAGAAGTCAGCAAAAACAACCAAGTCAGCAAAACAAGCAAAAAGACCAACCAGGTCAGCAAACCCAAAACACCTGGTGAATTGCGCTGGTGTCTTCCCACCGCTAGTGGTTGGTTGCCGAGGATTAAGGTGCTTCCAGATCCGAGCTGTATGGTAAAATATCAAAATGGCCTTGTTCCCTATTTGTAAAATTGCCGAATCAGTCCTTTTGCAACAGATAAATTACTAATTGCCACGTTGCTCCCTTGTTCTAATATCTAGGGTGTCAACTGTTAGCTCACTGACAAAGGTTGCTCATGAGAAAGAGAGAGAGAGAGACAAGTGTGCCATCTTTCTGACAGGACTCTGGGTAGGATAGGAAATCATGGCTACTCCCGGACGGCAGTTGTTTTGTTAAACATAGATGTTGCCTGACATATATACGGAATGCAACAGTGTGAGGCAACGACAGAATGAATCCAAGACTCCTCATGCCCTCCCTTGCCCCCTTGGGCCCGTCTTGCAGCCAAATTCGAGAAACAAGCAGCCCCAGCGTCATGGGTGGGAAGTGGCACAGATGCAACCACATCCACGCATGAAAGTCTTGAAACATGACCCAACCGGGAACCGGCATCAAGAAACTCGCAGCATTGGCGACCGGTAAGTGTTGTTGTCCTCCGTTAGAAGTGGGTGATGGCTCCCCAATGTCCAAATTCCTTTCTTCGAATCTTCCCAGAAAACGGGGAAATACAAGTCTCATTCCAGGAATCAAATTCCAGTCTCCCACTTCCGGGTAATCACCGAAAAAGTGGGTGGCCGCAGGGTTTTTACTTGTGGCCTTTAAATCGCCAAACAAGAGACACGGGAGAGGAAGTCAAATCACGTAGCGATCTTGGGATGTTTTTGCCCCGAGGCCGGTGGAGCCGGGCCGGCTGAGTGCCGCAAAAGGGTGGCGTACGTCGGTGGCTGTGATCTCGTCTCCCTTCTGGAGGAGACACACCTGGTCGGCGACCGCGGGCCGCTTTCGCAATGCAAGTCGCCGGCAAACTGCGGGAAAGAAAACCCATTTCTGGGAGGCCTAATGTCTCTCAAGCACCGCCTGGCCCAGGGCTTCCGGTAACTTATATGTCAGGAACCAGCTTGGTTCCCGCTATAGCAGGGTCATAGAACTTGGTTCCAGGAACCGGGCCAAACAGACTTCAAACAGACCCAAAACAGTATATTTTGCGTTGCCGGGCTGTGCGAGTGGTGCATTCAGAGCCTTCAACAGGATTTTGGTGCTCAAAGCAGTAGATGCAATCAATGAGGAGAATGTTTTCACTAAGTTCATAGAATTGTGTTTGGGACGCACAGCAATCAAATCATGTCTGGATCCCGATTGTGCCATGTGTTCAATGCAAAACAGGTTTGGGGGGTCAGCGGATCCGGAATAGAAACCTCGCATTAGTTTTACCATGAGGCCTGCTGGCGTGCCAGGTAATGCCTGTTAACAAGCTGTTCGTGGTGCATATCTGCCCTTTGTATGCTGGGTGGGGACTGTGTTACGACTACTCTTCCAGCCATATCCACTTGTCATTGAAAACTATTTTGCATGTTGATTAGCTTCCTTTGCAAAATATGGTGGCTGCACCAACATGCTAGCAACATTTGCTCCATTATTGGTGTCAACAGACACGTTCCAAATGACATCCACGCACAAAGCAAACGTTCGTCCACGATTGCAAGACTGCAGAAATCAGTAAAGAGCGCTTTGTGTTATTTGCGCTGCGACCTCAGTTTATTTTTACAAGCAAATGCCCTGCTTAAGTATGCTTGGGCACTTCCCAGGTGGAGTACTGTCGAAAGGGCTACGCGCTGACAATAGCTGTTGTATTCAAGGGCATTGAACCCCGCCAAACGCTTCACACATAAACACATCATACACTCAATACACTTAACAGCGCGCCCCAGCATCCAGCATGCAAGCTTGCACCGTCATCCTTGCTTGCATATTGTGGAACACTATAAGCAACATGTGTGGTCCGGACATCCTGTCATCAACAAGCGCTTCCAGGAGACTTGAATCTTGCCCAAGTGGGTGAATCATACAATTGTGGTTTCAATACCAGTCATGAATATCAGCAGAAAAAAGTCACATCGGTATTTTGGCGTTTGCACATGGAGGCTCGCCCGCCACAAAGCAATATCTCTTGGCATAAGTGGTGGTCTATCCGTTTTGTGCACAGCAAGGTTACCAACTGGAGCGTGTTTGCATGGAAGTAGGTCGTGTAATTTTTTAAATATAGGCGCAGGCGCCTTTTGAGCTGTGATTAGGTGAGCCATGTCCTAAACGTGTCATGATTTGCTAAGTCGCATCATGTTGGTTATCGCACATAGAATGATTTAACCCTCTTCTGCGTCAAACCAAGACACGCACAGCATCATTCCGTGGGTGTTTCCAACTATGGTGAGCTGTGTACAGCACATATCCCGGGGTTTAAAAAAAAACATTCCCAAAACCCTACAACATCTTTAGCAGCCATATCTGTTTAATGTCCCTTCTCAAAGTAAATATCAGTGTATTGTTTGTCCAAAACAATGTTATATTTGGGAGCAACAGTTGTATGTTCGGAGGCAACACACGTTTTGGGAGCAACAGTTTTATATTCGGAGGCAACACACGTAAATGCACATAGACATGTTACCCATCGCAGTGACTTGGCAAAACATATGACATATGATAACCGCAACTGCCTACAGAGCACCTGCCAGAGTCACACAACACGCAACAAATCACATGCGCACACACGCCAAAAGAACCCTGCCCATACTTGCACATTGCGTAGCAAAGGGGAAGCAGACCAAGCAGCTAAACACACATCATAATCACACTCACGCATCACACACCAACAAACCACGCAAACCCTTCATCACCCGCCAGAATCACACACCACGCGACAAAGCATACTCAAACTCTCCAATTGGCCACAATCAAGCACCACACAATAGATGATGAACATACCTGTCAACGAGCAGCCACTTACAGCACAACAAATCAGAAACACACGCACCAACTGAGTACCCACCATCACATACCACACAACAAAATATAATCACCCCCGCCAACTGAACACCGATCACATTCACTCATCGCACAAATACACCATCAGCACCCGGGCCAACCAAACGCCCACAGCCAGCTACCACACAACAAACAAACAACCCATCCGCCAGCTGAACACCCGCCAAACTAACGAACCACGCAGCGAACTCAAAATACACGGCCACCAACTGAAGACCCGCCACAGTCGCGTGCCTACAGCGAATAAAAAAGCACACAACCTTCCACACTCAAACACCACATAATTCATGTTCAAACACTCCCTTTCGATGAACCCATTATTTCACACAAGTGATGAACACACCCGCTCACAAAGCGCCCGCCGCAGTCACACACTGCGTAACAAAGTAGGAACACACGCCAAGTGAGCACCCTGCACACCTACATGGCACGCAACAAAATAATGAGCGGGCCAGCCACCCAAGGCACCGCGCAAAGGATGAACTGAACACGCGCCGACGCGCATCCGCCACAGTCGTACACCGTGCAAAAAATGGTAAGCGCACCTGCCAACAGAGCACTCGCCTCAGTCACACACCGCATTAACACATAACAAACAAACACGCGCCAGCCATACTCACACGGTGTTACAAACGACACGCCTACGCCCCAACTGAGTCACTCACCAGGCAAGCAAGGGCACTGGCACCACCCAACTGAGCGCCAGCTACAGCCAAAAATCACATAAATAATGAAAAACACACTTGCCAACTAGGCACCGGCCATGCTCATGAAACCACACAGCAAATTGCAAGCACTCGGGCCAACTGAGCAGCCGCCACACCAATACACCGCACAACACATGAGCAACGCACGCCAGCGACAAACGCTATGGCAAGTGCTGGGGCAGGAAAACCTGCCAGCACAGGAAGGGCGAAACCGGAACCGTTAAAAAGGGCCCGGAACCGTTAAAAAGGGGGGTGGAACCGTTAAAAAAGGGCGTGGAACCGTTAGGTAGGGACCGGAACCGTTAGAGGGAAAATCGGACCCAAATTTGGTGAAAAACCGCGTGCTCCATGACTTTCATGCGGAAAACAATGTGTTCCATCATTTTTCCAGTACAATGGAAATTTGGGGGTGAATCCAGTGTGAATCTAGCAGCAAATAAGCGCTGCGCCCGCTAACTGAACCCCCGGCAAGCTAACCCACCACACAACATGCGCCTGAAGCACGCCGAACCCGAATGAAATTGAAAACCGATCGTCTCAAAACACGAGCCAGAACTTCCCCTCGAACATCAAACCTCAACCCTGCGCAGGATTGTGGGCACAATGGTTGTTGTAGCCCAAATTACGGACTCAGCTGAGTAACCTTAGGTTGTTGCAATTGTGCCTTGGAATTTACCTGGAAACATCAACATGTGTATGATTTCTGGCTGGTAGACCGCATTTTTGTTGGGCGTAGCCAGCTCGCTGCTCCGAAATGTCTCTAACGGTTCCGGCCTTTTTCTATCGGTTCCGGGCCCCTACCTAACGGTTCCACCCCGCTTTTTAACGGTTCCAGGCTCCTTATTCTAACAGTTCCGGATTCGTCCTTCTTGTGCTGGCAGGCTTTCCTGCCCCAGCACTTGCCATTACGTTTGTCGCTGGCGTGCGTTGCAATTTGTTGTGCGGTGTATTGGTGTGGCGGCTGCTCAGTTGGCCCGAGTGCTTGCAATTTGCTGTGTGGTTTCATGAGCATGGCCGGTGCCTAGTTGGCAAGTGTGTTTCATTATTTATGTGGTTTTTGGCTGTAGCTGGCGCTCAGTTGGGTGATGCCAGTGCCCTTGCTTGCCTGGTGAGTGACCTGCTCAGTTGGGGCGTGAGCGTGTCAGTTTGTGACGTGGTGTGCAAAGGTGGCAGGCGTTTAACCTTGTCATTTGTTGCGCGGCATGTGTATGGCTGGCTTTCGGCTGGCGTGTTTGTTTGTTATGTGTTACTGCGGTGTGTGACTGAGGCGAGAGCTTTGTTGGCGGGTGTGGTTATCATTTGGTTTCGCGGTGTATGACTGCGACGGATGCGTGTTGGTGCGTGCTCAGTTCATCCGTTGTGCGGCGCCTGAGGTGGCTGGCACGCTTATCGTTTGTTGTGTGCTATGTAAGTGTGCAGAATGCTCAGTTGGCGCGAGTTGTTCTACTTTGTCGCGTGGTGCTCACTGCGACGGCTGCTTTGTTAGCGGGTGTGTTCATCACATGTGTGAAATTATGGGTTTAGTCAGAGGGCGACTTTAAATATGTATACTGTTGCTGTGGTGTTTGAGGGTGGCTTCTAATTTGCTCTAGGTACGCGAGAATGGCGGGTCTTGAGCTGGTGGCCGTGCATTTTGAGTTTGCTGTCTGGCTCGCTAGTTTGGCGAGCGTTCACCTGGCGAATGAGTTTGTGTTTGTTGCGCGGTCGCTGGCTGTAGTGCTCATGGTTTATTTGTGTGATGTGTGAATGTGGTCGGTGTTCAGTTGGCGGGTGTGATTATGTTTTGTTGTGTGGAATGTGATTGTGGCAGGTGCTCAGTTGGCGCGTTTGATCGCGTGTGTTTCTGACTTGTTGTGCTGTAAGTGGCTGCTCGTTGACAGGTATGTTCATCATCTATTGTGTGGTGCTTGATTGTGGCCAATTGGAACGTTTGAGTATCCTTTGGTGCGTGGTGTGTGATTCTGGCGGGTGATGAAGGGTGTGCGTGTTTTGTTGGTGTGTGAGGCATGAGTGTGGTTTTTGATGGGTGTTTAGCCGCTTGGTTTGCTTCTCATTTGCTACGCAATGTGCAAGTATGGTCGAGGTTCTTTTGGCGTGTGTGTGTGTGCGCATCTGATTTGTTGTGTTGTTTGACTGCGGTGGGTACTGTAGGCAGGTGTGGTTATTTGTTTTGCCCAGTCACTTCGGTGAGTAACATGTCTACATACATTTATGCTGGCTGCCTCCAAATATACACTTGTTATGCAAATGACTGAAAGTTGTTGTGAGAAGCGGCATTAAACAGCTATGGCGGCTGTAGAAGTTGTAGGTTTTGGGACTGTGATATTTAATTATTGCCCTGGGATATGCGCTGACACAACTCACTCTAGTTGCGGCGCCGTCTTTCCAAACTCCACGGAAGAATGCTCTGTGTCTTAGTTTTGAAGCATAAGAGGGCTAAGTTTATGCTATGCGCCATTTGGATTTTCGAATGCAATGGACCCCGCTAATGTGATTTTAGCAATAGTGCGCAATCGGAACAAAGACTGGACAGCGACCGCTGACTGCTGTTGCCTTCTCTGAGGCATAGTGGCTGCAAGCAGACGGTTTCTGGTTGCCCGACAACGCGAATTTCTAGCACTCAAATGGTATGAAGTTTGCCACTGGCAAAACGCCCCTGGAACACAGGGAAAAGGCGAAGCGGGAAAGGAAAAAAGCAGGAACCCCGACGCACTCAAGCAAAACCCGGATTAAAACAATCTCAGATGTCAACCTGTCCCACGCGAGCCCAAGCTCAAATTGAACTCATCCTAAGCCAATCTTGAACTCAATGTCGTCCAAAACCAAAAAGGGCTTCGGCGGCCCTTAAATCAGCCCTAAATTAGCCCAGCACCTACCGTAAATCAACCCTCACCAACACTACGCCGACCCGCGCGCAAGCTCAGGCGGCAGTATATCAACTCTCAAAAAGGAACCAATTTGCTTTCTACGCTGGTTACCAACAAAACAGGTAACCGGCCCTAGTTCCGCCAAATCTGTCGCTGGAGCCCAGTTACCCACTATACAAGTAACTGGGAAGCCCTGGGTGGGATTACAGGAAAGTGGGCGAAACATGTCATCTGGAAAGCCAAAATGGGGAAACGATTTCTCCGTGGGGGTCCGTACACACCTGTATTGTCATATCTACAAGAACCCAATACCATGCTCAGTGCCAATAGTTCCAATAAAATGGGGGTGTCATGCTTGCCAAGCAACCAACAAGGAAGCCAATTTGTTTGGGCGTCCGCCAGGATTGCTCCACCAACTTGATCGGCACAAGGGTCCGAACGTCTGCCCCTGTGTGTCTAAACTGCCCAAACCCGCTAAAATGGATGGTTATTTGGTAGGCATTGATATTAACGACACACAATGCACACTCATCTGCGTGTTCATCTAGTTTTCAAAGGACAAAGGAGCACCCATCTATACCCAAGTCGTCTTAGGCCAGAACCGAGAACCGGGGTCTTTGTGCAGTTTTGCATGGAGTTCCCTTTGCTCCATTGCCATGAAACGTGTCCTTCTTAGACAAAACAGATCTTCCACCCTGAGGCCTCTTGTCCCCATCTACAGTACCGATGGGACTCGGGCAATTTTCAGGATCTCGCTTTCGTGGGCGCAAGGAGTCCTTTCGTCCCAGATGATCAAAGCACATTTTGGAAGATGACGTGTAGTGCACGGCTGTCTTTTGACTTGTAATTTCAGGGTTGCCATTTGGTGTCGTCTCAAACTACAGAACCCCAAACAAATGCGGTTTCTGGTCGGCTTCCTTAGTAGGCTCAGCCCAAAAAAGGACACTTCGAAAAGCCCAGGCCCCTTGGTCTACCAAACGGTCCAACAAGCAAAGCCACTGCTTCGCGCCTGGTCGCTGCTCAAGGAGGGCTGCCGGCGGATGACTACCTACAGCTTCGCGGTACTAGTATGCTCCATGAGCCGGTCCTGAAGTTTCCTGCTGTGATATTGATATGGCTGTGTCCTTTTGCAACAGTACCTCGTTTTGTTTTGTGGATTTCAAAGGGAAACCATTTTGGGGCTCGCCCAAAAAAAAAACACCCACGTCACATTCTTCTTTAAGAGGCCTTTAGAGGCCTTTTGGCTTGATGAATCATGCTCCTGTATGTTGCGGACATTCGTGCAACCAATTGACAATGCAGCTGGGCCATTATCGTCAAGAGGATGGCTCGAGTCAACCATGGTCCTTCTTATCATTGATCTTTGTTTGAAGCGTCGGGGTTTGATTTGAAAAAACAATACTTTCAAAGCCCCGAAAGGTCAATCCACATTCGGAAGGCTGCCCTTCCGCCGAATGTAAGTTTGCCCGGGGCTAGAAGTGACTAACTTTCAGTGGGTTACATGGACACCCAACCACTAACCAACTAAAAGCCTCTGAAAGCTATAAGTTCTGATGGGTTGGTTCCCAGCCGGATGCTGGTTGGTCCCTGCTCCGCTTTGGGCCCCGCAGGGAGCTCCGCCACAAAGCCTGGCGGAGCTGGAGGTCTCCCGTACAGGTTCCCTTTGTTCAACCGAAAGAACGGGAAATCAAAGGGTTTGGCGAGAGGAAAATCTACAGGACATGGCCGGTTCACAGGTTCACACCCTAAATAAGCTGTTTTCCTGCATATTTTTGCCGGTACCCGGACCCTTTGAGAAAACCGATAGGGGCCCACAAAAAAAAAAAAAACGGTGGTCGCCCGTATTCTCTGACGTGCTTGTTTTCCTTCCTACATCCTCCGCTCGCCCCCGTCCATAGAAACGAGATCCAGGGAAGCCAGGGCTCCTTCCAGGTCCGAAGCCCACGCTTGCCCACATTCGCAGTTGACTTGTTTGGAAGGAAATGAAAGGGCGCCGTTCTGGGGAGAGGCATGTTCTTTTGGATACATCCAGTGGCTCAAAGACCAGCGATTCATCACAGACTAGGATGGCCAAAGCAAGAATTACTCTAAGCGGACGGATTAAGATTCGGCCCCCGGGACTCGATCCGTTTCTTGACATTGCTACTGGCCCCTGCCTGGTTGACTCGGTTTCTCACTCAAATGAAGCTTACTTTAGATTCCCGCGCTGCACACTTTGGGTCAGACCCATGTTGGAGCATAGAAAATCCGTGCAACCCATCCGCAATCCGCAAGCTGCACAATCTAACCCGTCCAGCGCGCAATCCCTAATCCGATAATCATGGGGGATTAGGTCTTGAACAAGCCAGGATATACTCAAGGGTTAGGGTGGATGTAGGGGGCGGAAGGGGGGGGAGGGGTCGGGTTGGTTTAGGGTTGGTTTAGGCCGGGTTAGGGCTGCAAGCAAAAGCTCTTTCAGCTTCATAAGTTTGCGCCTGTCCCAAAAACACAATTCGAGTACGTGCCAAAATAGGAACGACCCCACAAAAGTGTTCCTCTTTTGTAATTGTCAACCTGAAAGGCAACCTAAAAGGGGTATGGAGTCTCAAACAAAAGCAGGCCCATTCGGAAGAGTGTCTAGATGTCCCTAGCTTAGCCAATCTTGCCCTGCCATGGTTGTGGAAAACAAGTGGGCCACCCCCATACTTTCTCACCCCTAACATGTCCATCTTTCCTGGCCAGCGCCGCCAGCCGCTAAGCCTCAAGGCCTCACCCCGTCACCCCATGATGCTAGGATCATTCCGCCGCAGCGATGACTTGCGCATGTGTCTCGCGCTTGGCCCAAGCCTGTGGATGGACGAAATCCTCTCAGGCACCTAAGAAACCATGAGTTTCACCATTGGTTGCTGTTGAACAAGGGGGGAATCATCATTCCAGGGTTTCTTGGGTGCAGGATTTCCATCCACGGTCTCAGCCCCTTCCGCCGGTGCAAGTGCCACGTCAATCGCGCCAGCGCGTGCGGATTCCGGCAGCCATTGCTGACTAGAGCATCGCACGGCCAAAGAAATCAGAAAGTCGCTCTCTGGAAATTGACTTGCTATGCTTGGTGTGGCGTCCCAAGGCATGTGATAAAAAAAAGGATGTGGGATGGCTCCATGTGCTCTAACAAGAAAACATCGAATGTCAGTGTCTCCGTCATGCCAAACGTGTGTTGTGCTGTTCATGTCGCAGTCCTCTCACAGCGTGCACTAGTGACTGTGCTGTCAGAAAAGCAGGGCAAAGCACGGCAAACCACAATGCTGCTTTCCAGGATCAGTTCCCCTGCACACAGTCCACATACACATGTAGGACCAGTATCTGATCAAGCCCCCAGCTGGGTTCCCGGGTTTGCCACCATGATCAAACAAGTGCAACTTGCATACACACGCAAACATATGGGTGGGTCTCAAAATAGTTTTACCTGCAGGTGAACAGTTTGCCCATACTATATGTGCATATACAATGCCTCGACATTTTCCGACACGCCTTGTTGATGGCGTGAATGCCGGCCGCCCCCGCATGCCCCGCTTTGGGAAAGCATGAAGCGGGAATCTATCGGTGGCTCCAGTCAAAAATTTAGGAGATAATCTACAGGGAAGCCAAAACTTTCGGCGTTGCGGTTACCATGAGACAGGTTTAAAGCTATGAGACAGCAATATGCGTCAGGATCAGTCAAGGACCGCATGCTCGTTCTACCTCCGAGCCGGTGGACGTGCTCGCCATAATAAAAAGGGGCAGAGACATTGATGCCACCCAAACATCACCCGCAACAAAACCCCATGGCACCAGTGCGAACCAAACGGCCATGTCCATGGGGTTGTTGTTGATTTGGGGAGGTGTTGGACCCCCCAACAGTTGTGTTTGTTTTTGTGGTTTGGCTCAAATGCAGCGTTGTTTGCCAGCCCCTTCAAACCCCCCGTTCAGTGAATTCCATTTGAACTCGATTAAGGAAAGAACCGGGAACAGAAAGCTTTAGATATGGAACCCACAAATCGGCATTGCATTGGTAGCCCAGTATACGGATGCTTGACCATATCTCGTCCCACAAGCTGGCGTTTTGCCCATACCTCCTTCGCACGCTCAGCTTTCCTCACGTTCCTTTGAAAAAGAGACCTCAATGGGTTACCAGTTGCAAAACTCCAAAGAACCTAGAGAACTTGCCCATGCGTCCAGGTGTTTTTGCCAGCCCGCCGAAGGTGGGGTTTCTGCGCACATGTTCAGAGATGTTCAAAGCACGTGAATCTTTCCTCCGGTTCGGTTTCACTTGTCCGGAGCCACCGGCAAACGGCCGCCGCTCGGCCGGGTGACACGAGCTCCCTTCATTGGAGAGCCAGAGCCGACAGGGTGCCCTTTTCCAACCTGAAAAAACGTCACCACCAAGGGAAACTCACCTAAGGGTCAGCAAGGTGATGCATAGAAACCAACAATTAAGCGAAATATAGGGACCCCTGAACCCCGCACCGATGGCATCTTGCCACCGAAGCGTACATCTCGGGCTTCCACTTGTACGGCTTCTGAGTGCTTGCTGCTGCAGCAAACGAAGCCCGCTCTTGGTTTGCGCTCATGAGTTTGGTCAAACTAAACAAGCCAAATGTCTATATCGCCGGCCTTTCGGAATCAATCTGAAAAAGTATTGTTTTTTCCCCGGAAATGCATCGGGACTCGTTTTTGCACATGTTGTGCCACCAATGAACAAAGAGTCTACGGGCTCGAGCCGCTCGCGATTGGAAGAGCACAGCAGCCGCTGAGCCGCTGAGCGGTGCACGCGCACTCCGCTACATCAGGGTGAAAGGATTGCTGACTCCCTGCGCCATCGCGTCCTCGGCACTCTCGGCACATGATATGCCCCTCCATTTGGGTAGCCCCTGTGCAAAAATAGTGGTATGTGCCCTTCCCAAGCGAGCCATTGACTGCAACTCCCAAATGTGGCCATGGTTCAATCACGAACCCGGCTCCCTAGATTTCCTCGAACATCAAGCTCACAGGGAAATCTCCGCACAAAACATACAAGTTTGTTGATGCGCGACCATACCTTGTCCCCACAAAGTTCCACAAAGCCAAAAAAGCTGGATTGGGGCAAAGAGTTCCACACAGCCACCCAAAGATTAGTTTTGGGGGTTGGGGAAACCAAAAACAACAGGGCTTAGGGTTTAGAGCTTCACAAAGCCGTCACCAACAAAAATCTTAGGGCTCAGGCTTCCACTTGGGCTTCGAAGTCACACACAAAAACGAGCGGGGGCGGGGGGGGGGGCTGAGGTGGGCACGAGCAAATATGTTGCCAAGAACTGCCAAGAACCCCAAAAAAACCGACACCCTAAAGGAGGGAGGTTGCAAAATCGACCCCAAGTCTCCATCATAGCGGGGGGAGGGGCTCGGGAACAGCTTTGAAGCTCCGAGAAAGACACAAGGAGCCGAAACGAATTTCGGGCGGGGGGCCCGAACTTCCGAACTCGGCCCCACACATCCGGCGACCGCATCCCGAAGCCCAGGCTCGGAAGCTGCGGCCTCGGCGCGGGAAACCCTTCAAGCAAATCCCGGAAAGAAGCGCGTCCACCGCGAGTTTCGGGACTGGAACCCCAAAGAAGAAATACATGTTGCAAAGGGAGACCTAAGGCAAAGCAACCCTTTCCGGGGGGTCCCCGAATTTTGAGACCGACGATTTGGTTGTCTGCAATGGGAAGCCAGATGCGTACCCATGCAAGGCTTCTGGGGGATTGGATGCGCCGAAACCTAGCAAGGAAGCTGACGGAATCCCCAAGGAAGCTAGGGACCTAGTGGCTGGCAGCTCATTATGATTACCTTTGAAAACCATTTTGTTTGAACACAGGGGTCGTTATTTCAGGACCTACACTGTTGCACAAAACTAAGAAGTAACCAATGGATGCTTTGGTGTAATTCATGTCAGTGCTGTGTCAACATGTTGCAGGATTTGATACACACCCATGCGCACGCTGAATTGGATCTTCCACATGCAGGAAAGAATACGTCCCGCCCATTTGTTCTTGCCTGGCCACAAACAAAAATGGCCGATGTGTTGGGTTTTGGCCTGGGGTGGGCTCGTGCCCATGGGAATCACAGCTAATGACAACTGTACCAATATGCAAACAAAAACGACAACAAATTACAAACACTTACAATAAATATATGAGGCTACAAGAAACCAACGCAAAGCAACACAAGTGAAACCGCAGGCAAAGGCAACCAACAAAGGCCTCACAGGGCTGGCAGGTTTCAGCAGCCTGGGGCCCAAGCGTTTGCAAGGACGCCTGCGGCTCCTCCTCGCGTGACCAGTTCAAAGCGCCCAGGGGTGGGCAACATGTGCTTGGATTAAAGAAGGAAGAAAACATGGCCTGGAAATCTAGAGGTGTTTCAACCAACTCAAACGCGGGGTTGGCCCAACTCTGTCGCTTGTCAGGTGTTAACCATGGCAAAAAGGAAGCTTGAAGAAGCGACTCTCTTTACAGGCAAACCCGGAATGCTTGTCGGCATCCAACAGAATCCAACAGGATCAATTGCCCGCGCCTGGTCAAAGCCGTCTGCCACCATCTGCGGCGCAAGCACGGGGGACCCAACACGAGCGATGCCGCCCGTGACAGGTGAGGTACACATGATATACCCTTCCTCCCACAAACATAGCATCCGGAGGAGGGCACCTGAAAGATCAGTTTCTGCTTAACGGAACGCCCGGTCAGATGCCACGTTGGTGGGAGGGCAGGGTGTGGTATGTCTGGTATGTCTGGCATGTCTGGCATGTCTGGCATGTTTGGCATGTCTGGTATGTCAGGTATGTCCGGTATGTCTGGTA